CCGCTTGGGGCTCAGGTGAACTTACTTCCACCGACCACTAAATAAAGAGATGATTCTGATGTCTGATGTCAGGGTCAAAGTATCAACGCATCAACAAATCAGGAATTTGTGGTTTGAAGGTCAGGTGCTGACTGACTCTCGCTAAAAGACTGAACAAACGAGGCCAACCGAGTGACAGGCTCCGCACACAAATTGTAAGTGCGGTTCACACTCAATATCACTCAATCAACGCGCAAATTTTCTTTGATTTCATGAACATGTGAACCATGCAACATGTGACATACTGTTCAGCTGGGCAGCTCAATCACTCCTCAATCATTTTCCACCCTGATAAGATTCTGGCGCGAATGCAGTCTTACTGCAACAAGGAAACAACCAGGTCTCGCCATTTCTTGGCCAAATCAGCTTCGTCAGCTTTCAGGCTTTGAATCTCACAGGAGCAATCATGGCACACCGCATTGACTGCCACATCTTCCCTTGGAGACACATGTCAAAATGATGACCATGGCATTGGTATTATATGTCAACATGGGGTCAACATGATTCAAAACCACTGGTGTAGGTATGTCATGTGTGAGTGTGTTGCTTGTCATTATTGCAATCAAAAGTCTCGGCAAGGTAGGGTCTGAAGAATCCAAGATAGCAGCTCAAGCAAGCCTTCTCGTTCCTAGCTGCGTAGAGTAGCCGAATTAACTGGCGGCGAGAGATCGGGGTGGTAGCAGCAGCAGCAGGAGCAGCGCTGGCCATAATGGGCAAGGCTTGTAGGAAACACAAAAATTGAGCCAGAGTTCACTGCCAGAAACCAACAAACTCAGTCGAGAACCTGTTTCAACAAACTCAGTCGAGAACCTGTTTCATGTGGGCAACAAGCACAACTGTTCCAAAAGAAAAAAAACTGCTGCATACTGCTGCTCGAGTCCTTTGTCATGGTCAGATCTTTGGCCCTTGGCCTGAGGCACAATGTTGCAAATTGCTGATGTCAGCTAGTAAATTGACATCACCTTAGCCAGTGAGTATTCTTTGGTTGGAAGTCAGGGGCAAAGCAATCTTTATTTTTTCGGGTTCTTGAAATTGAGCTTTTTGAATTTGGGGCTTGTTTGATTTATCTTAAGCAAAGCAACTGCAAGCTAGGATCAATTTGAAATCGTTTTTTGGACTTGATTTGTTTATTTGAAATTGATGTTCACGGTTTTTTTGTGTGTCCTAAGCTGAGCACCGTCATTGTTTCTAGGGTTAATTTGAACTCCATGTGTTGGACTTGGGTCTGCTTCATCTTTTTGATTGAACTAGGCTAACAAGGTCCTGGCCAAAAATGTTCCTTATCCGCGCGAAGCCCCAAAGATTAATTTCGCTTCTAGGCCAGGACCCCTTTCACCTTGAGGACCCCTTTGAACTCGTTCACGGCTTTTGTGTGTCCTAAACACCTTTGACCATCTGAAATGTTGGATGTTTGCAGGTCCTAGCCCCTTTGATGATCTTACCCTGAGCCTGATGGACTCAAAAAAGCAAATGGATAATGATGGTTTGGCCATCACTGTGATCACATGAATTGTATTTTTTGCTTTACATTGGGGCTTCGTGGGGTGCAATGTATGCAATAAGGGACTTGGTGGGTCCAAGTCAAATATTCAATCTGCTGGCAGTCCTAATGCCTCAGTTGATTAGTTGAATTATATATAGACTTGGTGGGTCCAAGTCAATCGTGCTTTAAGATCAAGACAGTTCCCACAAGCGATGATCAAAACAACTTAGCTGAAAAGATACCAAATTCCATCAAACAGCAACAAACGATGATTCGAAGAAGGTTGTCATCATCACCATCATCATCATTGACAACACCGTTGTCAGCATCATGATCATGATCATCATCGTTTCGTGTTGGTTTCAGTCATTCAAACTATGCTGCATTTAGCTCCTCCTAGGTTTGGAAGCCGCCAAAAAAAAGAAACAGGTTCAAGCAAACTCCAAGTCCAAAGTCCAAAGCACTGTATAAAGCTAAGTTCGTTTGCGCAAAGTTTTGCCTGCAGTTCATTGTCATCCATCCTGCATGGGCAAGCGAAAAAATGAAGCTGACTCAAATCCAAAAAACGAGTTTCAATGAACCCTAGTTCAATCAAAAGCTTGAAACAAACCCAAGTCCAAAAAAAAGATTTCAAAGTAACCCTAGGTGGCCACCTGCACCAAGCAAAATAATGAAACAAATCCAAGTCCAAAAAACGATTTCAAATTGACCCTAGAAACAGTGATGGTAATCGGCCTAGGACACGAAAAGCCTTGGACAATGATTTCAATCAAAGGAACCAACCCCATAACAAAGCTGCAAGAATCACCTTTATTGAAAAAAAACAGCAGGCCAGGAACTTCTACCAATTCAAATTCGAGTCTTTCAGGTCCCCTTTGACCATCTGAAATGTTGGTGTTTGAAGGTCCAAGCTCCTTTGATGATCTTACCCTGAGCCTGATGGACTCAAAAAAGCAAATGGATAATGATGGTTTGGCCATCACTGTGATCACATGAATTGTAATGTTTGCTTTACATTGGGGCTTGGTGGGGTGCAATGTATGCAATAAGGGACTTGGTGGGTCCAAGTCAAATATTCAATCTACTGGCAGTCCTAATGTCTCAGTTGATTGTTGAATTATATATAGACTTGGTGGGTCCAAGTCAGTTTCATACTTAGGGACTTGGTGGGTCCAAGTCAATCGTGCTTTAAGATCAAGACAATTCCCACAAGCGATGATCAAAACAACTTAGCTGAAAACATATCAAATTCCATCAAGCAGCAACAAACGATGATTCGAAGAAGGTTGTCATCATCACCATCATCATCATTGACAACACCACTGTCAGCATCATGATCATGATCATCATTGTTTCGTGTTGGTTTCAGTCATTCAGACTATGCTGCATTTAGCTCCTCTTAGGTTTGGAAGCCGCCAAAAAAAACAGGTTCCAGCAAACACAGTGGCGCTGAATTGAATTTCAGCTTGTCATGGATAGACTCCAAGTCCAAAGCGATGTAAAGCGAAATTTTGCCTGCAGCTCATTTTCATCCATCCTGCATGTTCACTTGCAATCTACCAAACGGTGGAACTAAACACAATCCTGAGAAAAGGATAGATATAGTATAGATACTTTCCACTGGCCTGAGGATATCACTTTCTGTTTGTCAACTTTCTGTCTGTTAATTCGCAATGACCAGCAACGAATATCAAAATCAGTGTCCTGAGAAAAGGCCTTGAGACTCAACCTCATGAGTGACTCACTCAAGAACAATGGCGAAGCTGATGCAAAGCTGATGGGAAGCTGATGCGAAGCTGATTGGAATTGTTTCATTTTTTTCCACGCCGCGGCTGTTGCTTTCTCCCGTCTGTCATGATGCATGTCTCACAAATTCTCGCAGACTGGACCCGGGAGACATTGGGTCACCTGAGAATCAAAACTACTCAATCAACATCGAATGCTCCTGGTCCTCCTTCTTCTGGAGCATCTGGAGCAGGAGCATCTGGAGCATCCGGAGCAGCTGGAGTATCTGGAGAATCTTCAGCAGGAGCAGCTGGAACATCTGTGTCTGGCTTGCGGAAACGACGGCGGACCTGCTCGTGGACGGGCATGAAGGAAATGAGGGCACTACGTTGCGGGCTTTTCATCCAATCAGCAGTTGCCAACTTGTAGGCTTCAGCTCTGGGATAGCCCTGCTTCACATACCACTCCTGGGCCTTCTTCGAGAACTGCGTCTTCTGCTGTTGAATGGTGCCGTTGAGTTTCAAGCTTCCAACATCAAACCGCTCTTGCTCTTGATTTGGATCGCACACAGGATCCTCCGTTTTTCCCTCTTCCTCTGCATCCTCCTCTTGGTCATTTTCCTGCGGCTTTTCATCTGGCACAACCTCTGCTGCACTCCCACTGGATGTCTTAGACTTCTTAGACACCTTCTTCTTTGGCTGCGCCTCTTTCTCTTCCTGGGGCCTCTTGACTGGCACAGCCTTTGGACCCGCACTAGGTTTCTTTTGCACCTGGTCCTTCTGACCCACACCAGGTTTCTTGTGCGCCTTCTTCTTTTTCTGACTCTCCTTCTCTGCCTCAGACTCAGCATCATCTGGTTGATTGCATTCATCACCTGTCTGAGCCTTCTTCTTGGCTGAACCCAAAACCTTCGGAGCTGCAGCAGGCCTCTTCAACTTGTCAGGCTTTGCCTTCGATTTTGCAGCTTTTGACTTCGCAGCGACTTGTGCAAGTTGGGTCTCAAGAGACTTTCGAATATCTTCACCTTTCTCATTCTTCTCTTTGCCCTTGTCATCCTCCTGCTCCGACTTCTTGGTATTCTTTGGCGCTTCTTTCCCAAATTTCACAGCAGCAGCGCTGGTCGCCGACGACTTGAAGGATGCAAAATATGATCCCAGACTAGATGGCGAATGCGACTGTGTCGCTGCCGATGGCGATGATGCTTGCCCATGAGATTGTGGAGTGCCCACTGACCCAGAGGATGGGTTCCGCAGAGCAGACTGTCGCGCAGGCCTCGCAACCTGCCCTGCAAGCATAGCATCCTCTAGTTGCTGCCAGTCTCTAACATCCATGGCAAAAAAAATGCAATGAAATCGGTTGGCGCTCTGAATCACTGAAGCAACAGCTCCGTTGGCACAATGGTCAGTCAAGCTTGCACACAGGGCGCTACATGAAACACATGCGGACTGAAAGTCTGCCAAGCGTAATGAACATGCATGAAATCAGATTCAATGTTCAAATAAGTTGGAAACCGGAAACATCAAACTGAAATCATCAATGTGGCGCGCAGCATTGTTCGAAAGCCCTTTTTGCACCCACCAGCCAGAGCTTAGGCTTTCTGCAAAAGCCACGCACGCCACTTGCTTCAAAGCACCAACGGCGCTTCGATTACAGCAGTGACTGTCCAAAAACCAAACACTTCCTGCAAGGCACCAATCACGCTTCGATTGCAGTCAGTGAGTAACCATTGAGAGCATGGCGCTGTATTGCACAGTTACACGACTCGCACCACCTGGCCCTTGCCCAGAGGTACATTCTCCCGCAAGAAGATTTCCGGCTTCTTAGGGACCATCATGGCTTGGGCCTCATCAATCGTGATGGTCCAGGTCACAAGGACTCGTGGAGAGTCCATGATGGCCTTTTTGGGGAGCACGTTCAACAGGTTGGAGGCGCGGGCATTCTGCATCTCAATGGGCTTGGGGCGGAAGACCCACTTGACAGCACTCTCCTCACCATCCGCAGCAATTGGGGCAATCACAAAGTGATCCACCTCACCACCAGTCATTGCTGCTCCCCCAGGCCTGGCACAAGTGTGCCCCCATAGCGACAAGTCAATCACCCCCGATGCCTCAGCCTCGTGTAGGACATCACGGATGGAAGCTGGCTCAAGGTTGGGGTTGCCAGGAACCTCCACCACAACCTGGGCTTGCTATTTGGCTATGGCTATGGCCCACAATCCACAGTATCAATGCAAAACAAAAGCTGGCTTGAGCAACCCCTTGAAAATAATCATACATAGCAAACCAAGCTACTTTCACCAGGTCAGATCGAACCTCGAACAGGTACAAGCTCCTTTCCGCTTCATTTGCCAGGAGCCGAGTGCTCTTTGGAGGTTTGAACCAGTCTGATGCCCCCACCTTGAACACGGGCTTGTTGGTCGGGACTGTCATGTCCTCATTGGCCTCAAGGTAGATAGTTGGATTCTCATCACCCTCCGACTGGACAATGTGCAGTGAGAGGTTCTCAATGTCACTGGTGCATGTGTGGGTGATGTTCTTCAAAGATTCCTTTGGCTTTGGCACCCAATCATCAGGGAGGCTTCCACCACCAGCCACGCCATCCGCAGCAGCAGCAACCGCCGCTGCTGGCTCAGATGAGCCCCCGGCCCTGAGCGCCTCTGGGGACGTCAGTAGTTCGTCGCACTTCTTCAACTCCGCAATCCACTCTGTTGCGTAGACTGGGTCGCTGCTCCATTTGCGTCTTACCTCTGCAGGTATCTCTGGCAAAGCCCCATTCATTTTCATGATGGTCAAACCAGAAATTTCTGTCCCCCTGAACTTCTCCACCTCATGCTGCGGAAGCTCTGCCTCAAACACAAGCTGTGGTTTTGGCATCAGTTGGTGGTTTCCAGTCTTCCAATCCAGCAAAAGGCTGCGCGCCAAGCGGGCCTCACACATCTTTCCACTCTCTGTGTCCAAGGTCAGGCTACAACACTTCCAAGCACTTGGGCCCTGAAGATTGGCACGCAGGCAAGCCGTTTCTGGGCCACCCTCATAGGGTGTCCAGTTTAATAGGATAACCACATCAGAGCGCTTGGTGAGAAGCGGCTTGGGAGCGCCATCCGATGTGTGAAGAAGGCTGTCGAAAAGGACAGCAGGAACGTCCTGACCAGCCAACAAATTCATGGCCCTCTTCTCCAGCGACAAGTTGGCAGCAGTGGTTGGAGCGCCAGGCTGAGGAGTGGTTTGGAGGGCATAGTCCGAGGGTGGCAGCCATTGAGCATCCCGCATTGTGGCACGGCGTCTGACCAGATAGCTGGACGCAAACAAAGAATCTTCACCTGCAGCCTCTGGAAGCAACACATATACATCGTAGCAAACCTGGCGCGAGTCATTCCCGTGAAGTGGGCCTTCATTCATCTTCAAACTGGTGAGAACCGGTACAAAGCCCTTGTTCTCTGCACGCATTTCCAACCTCGCTCGCTCTGCGCGGTCTCCTGACAATCAAAGTATAGTTAAAGACAAGTCATTCAAAAAGTTGAAAAGTAAAATACATCGACAAATTTCTTTTATCTGCATCTATCCTTTCTGCATGTTATATACATTTTTTCTTTTATCTGCATCTATCCTTTCTGCATGTTATATATTACTTTCTTCTTGGAATCGATCCCTACGCTGCCGAAGCCAACAGCCCCCAGCCAGACCTGTGAGTCTCTTCTTGGAAGCCACTGTTGTCACCAAAATGATCGCAGCGGAGCTCTTGGGATCAGAAGATGCGAACTGCTGAAGCATCTCGAACATTGAGTTCATGGCATCGTCGCTCATCCTGGCGAACTTGTGGCAATCGCAGTAAAATACTTTCAAGCAAGTGCCAGACACTGCTGCAGCATTTTGACTGAACTTCCCCCACCAGTGGCTCAGGGATGCAATGGTCTCGCCCGCTTTCACCATACAATTCGACTGCATGAATGGTTCTACCACCTGGACTCGCCCTTGGTGAATTTGGCCTCGAACCCAGGAAGCTTGCGCAACCTGCTTGGCTTTGGTGTTTGACTCAACCTCAGACAAGTGCTTGCAAATCCTGCAGCAGTCTGTGTTCAAACCCAGAACGTCGGCTTTGAACTGACACTCCTGTTGCTGTTCATTCAAGGACTCAATGTCATTGTTCATCACCGCTGTTGAGGTGGAAGGATCCATTCCTGGCCATGGAAACTGCTCAGCGGTCCACTCTGGGCTTTTCAAAGCGATTTGCATCCGAAACTGGGCCAAGTACTCTCCTTCAATGCCTCAGACTCATTGGATGCAGAAAACATGGTCTAAAAAAGATGGTAAAGTCCGGAGTCTATTATGACTAGTACCACTGGACACTTTTTGGTCAGGCGCACATGAAAGTTACTTAACTTAAAGCTGGGTTGCATCGGCTCCGCACACTTGCCAGCATTTTCGGATCATCCAAAGGAGGGTTCGACAGGCAATGGCCAACCCAGCAAGAATAATCACACAGCTCCATAAACTCTTCCAGCGTGAGGGACTTGCTTCTTCCACTTCGCAGGGCCCTTCGAACCTCGAAGTTGACAATCTCCGCCAGCAAGCACTGTTTAACTTGATTCATCTGGAGGACCTGCGCCCACACTGTGAGTTGGTCTTGCACTGTCACCTTGGAGGATTGGCCTCCGAGAATCCATCGCTTTGTTTGTAGCACCTTCAATTTCCATGGATTCGTCTTCTCTGGAACTGTGTCCAGCAAACCCTGGATTGATCTCAAGAACGTCGGGGAACTGTGCAAAACCAGGTGGAAAACAGCATCCCTCTGCAAGCTGGACAGCATGTAGGTGCGGTTCAAGGTCGTGCAATGGGAGTCGAACTCGTCCATAGCTGCCAGTAAAAGTTGTTGCTTGATTTGAAGGGAGGAGTCAACGTCCACACCAGGATGCTGCAACTTCCCCAGTTCGAAGCAAGCAGCGTTGAACTTGATGGCCAAACTGACCACTGTCATGGGCCTGCGTTCCTGGAGCATCTGACTCTGAAGCGCCATTTCGTACAGTCTTTGGCGGTCATCTTCAATCTCCTTGTGCTGCACATAGATGGTCCGAGTGCTGCGAAGAAACCTCAAGGACGGCCAAAAAGCAAATTGAAAAATCATCCTTCACTTCAAAGCCCCACAGCAGTATTTCTCACAGGACATATTGATCAGCATTATTTCTTGCAGGCGGCAGGCCGCAGGAGGAAGGCGGCACGGAGCCGGCAGGAATTCTAATTGAAATGAAATGCATAATAAAGGAAAGTGTCTTCAAGTCATCGGCCAAGCAATTTTTTGTCATGAAGGCCTTCACATGGTTTGCTTGGAAGAAACACAGAAACATTCCCGTCGAAACTTGCAGGAAATTGGCGCGATGCTTTCTATACATAAGTTTTTCGCATGAATTTTCCTTTGCTGGGTCTGGGATTGGTGGAAAACAACCGATTTTCCGGCGAGTTTCCGTTCCCCAAGTGAATGATTCTTGGAAGCCTGTCCATTTTCCGGCGAGTTTCCCTTCACCAAGCCACGATTTCTTGGAAGATTGCATTTTTTCCGGCGAGTTTCCTGGAAACTCACCAGAAACTTTTTGAAGCGCTAGAAACTGTTTGAAATGCTGTTTAAGTCCAAGAAAGCTTTTGACACCCTTTGACCTTGAAATGGGGGCATTCCTCACCAGATTCTCGACCCAAAGTTCAACATTTTTTTTCTGGTGAGTTTCCAGGAAACTCACCAGAAAATTGTGCTTTTAACATGAGCCACGTTTTGATAACTTGTGCTTGCTGTCAAAGTTTTCTGTATATTAGGCCACAATTTACAAAGTGAAAACATGCAGGGGCATGGTTTTATATACTATGTGTGGGTTTTTCTGGTGAGTTTCCTGGAAACTCACCAGAAAAAAATGTTACACTTTGGGTCGAGAATCTGGTGAGGAATGTTACACTTTGGGTCGAGAATCTGGTGAGGAATGCCCCCATTTCAAGGTCAAAGGGTGTCAAAAGCTTTCTTGGACTTAAACAGCATTTCAAACAGTTTCTATAGCGCTTCAAAAAGTTTCTGGTGAGTTTCCAGGAAACTCGCCGGAGAAAATGCAATCTTCCCGAAAACACTGACTCCTCAAACGGAAACTCGCCGGAAAAGGGACGGGCCTCCCAAAAATCACTGACTCTGGGAACGGAAATTCGCCGGAAAATGGACCGGCCTGTAAGAATCATTGACTTTGGGAACGGAACCTCGCCGGAAAATAGGTTGTTTTTTGCCAATGTACCAAGCTCACCAAAAGAAAAAAAACACGGGGAAATTGACTGGAAACATGTCTATAACTTTCTGAATTCAACTTGCGTTGCACTGAAAATGGGCCTCAAGAACCCCAAGACATGCCAAGGAAAAAAGTGTAAGAATAACAACACCTCGGACAAACCTGGGTTGAACAGCAGAATCAACATTTAAACCAAACGCATAAATGCTTCAACCAAAAGAGCCAAGTCACGCTTGCCACAGCTCCAGCTCCTGCTCAGCCTTCTGCACTTCGGTGTCAGGGTCCATGTTCTCGATGCAATCTGCCCCCTTAATCACCGCAAACACCAAGGCAGTGACCCGCGAGAAGCCTTTGCCGACCAAGCTGACCTTACCCTCAGTCTTCTCTGCCATGACAGAAATGCCTTCTCTGCTGTCGTACCCAGCAGGGTTTCGCAAAATGTCAGTGAGGCAGTTGGTCCATTGAACCCACCGTGGGAGATCCGTGACAACGTCCGAATCACCTGCAGCGCAGGGGTTCACAAAGCCTTTTTTCCTTGAAAGCATGAAGCTCCATCCACAACACGTGAAAGCAATGCCTTCAACGTACGTACACAAACAAAAAAGTATACATTTCAGTATGAAAAGGTTGGAAGGCAGCAAACGAAACTTTAGAAAAGTTAAAAACGCCTGGTCCACGGATTTGAGTCCGAGTCAGAATGAACGCTTCAAGGCTGACAGTGTTGGGTGGAGACACCTCGGAATACTCTGGAATGTACTTGTTGAAGATGTTCATCAGTTCAGTCTCGAGAGCGCCTGCTGGCTTCTTGTACTGCTCCAAAGCCCACAAACAAGGGTGATCCTTTCCCTCCGTAGCAGCGTTGATGACACCCTGCGTCAGCACAATCCACTTTCAAAAAAATAAATGAATCTAAATGATGTACACATACAGTTAGTTTCATTGATTGGTGTGCATGATGGAGTCTTGTTGGTCGATCCTTAAAAATGATTGCAGTGAAATGAAATGCAACAAGGACAGCGACTGCTTGACCGCCCCTGGTTTTTTTTTATCAATGCCAACGCATGCAATGAGTGAAGTTGTTAGAACAACTACAGCCAGTCAAGGTCCCTTCGGCTAGGAATTGACCAAGTTTTTCAGGACAACTCCTTACGCTCCACAAACATCAACGCCGTTAGCACTGCCAAAGCAGCACAAGGTCCGAACATGGCGTTTCCTGCCATCTCCACATTCTGCGCATTGCTCAAATGGCTTGGCCACTTGATGTGGTCAAGGCCAAGCTCTGCTGAATCGGACTCATGGATTGGCCACCCTTGCGCTCGAAGCAATTGCATTCCTGAAAGGAACTGCCTCTTCTTTGGGAAATACAAGCTGTTGCTTGTTGTCCTTAACGTTGGAAGGCTCCCGTCACTCAAGGAAGTCACAGGCCGCCCCGATGACTGCCTCAAATCAAATACCGTCACATTGCTCCGAAGCTCCTTGTTCTTGACCATAGCCTGGTATTGTTTGAGATGCTTGGATTCGGAGGGGGTCATCTTTCGAGTGGACTCGGAATCCGGGTCTGCCGTATAGATCAACGGGCTGAGACTCGCCGGCTTCTGGATCATGCAAGGCTGCACACACTCCAGCCATGAGCAGCAAAGAGGAGGACCAACTTCAGCAGGACCAGCCCATTTCGTTTTGTGCTTGTTGTAAAGGAGGTAGTACTGTCTGGGTCGCGCCATAGGAATCGAAAAGACTTCTGGTGGGTTGAGCGTCGCCTTTGAGATCTCATACATGTCCCCCAAGCTTCCCATGATCAATTCCTCCGGGTACCGTTCCACGTTCTCGAAGATCAGGACATGAGGCGCAGTCCGTCGCACCTTTGCCAGCCACGCCTTCCCAGGGCCCATTCTGCCATCATGCAACGGTACAAGAAAAAAGGAACCAACACCCTGAAATTTTGAAACAAAACAAAAAACACTTTCAGCAACCCTGAAAGCCTCATGGCTTTCATATCGTGGATCATCGGTGCCCTTTCCCTTGCCAAAAGCGCTCCATGGTGGGCAAACTGGTCCAGCTAGCTCAACATCGAGGCCCCCAGTCGTCACACTCTGGCAGCTGCACATTCGCTGGTGTGTGTAGCAATGAGCTTTCTCGGCTAAACTTGAGCAGCTTGGAGGTCTTTTGCCCTTGCCTTCTTTCAAGCCTTTCACCAGGTCTTTGATATCTCCAAAGCAACAACGACTCGGCCACCTGCAGCGAATCACACTTTGGCAACTGGAATCCCAATCAAGAGCATGGCCCAGGTTGACATCGACACCCTGAGTCTTGGCTAAAGCTTCGATGGTTGCCTCTGCCACTCCACATCCTGTAAAGCTTGTAGTCAGGCTGCCAGTCTTCAACTTCATCAACGCTTGCTTGACTCTGTCCTCACCATAATGCGAAGCCATGGAGCCGACAATGTGCTTCGGCAATAAAAATGTGTCCTTCACATCTGAGATCTGTGTCACGATGTGACTGCCAGCAGCGGGCAACCTGCGCGGGCTGCGGCTGCGATCATCATCATGGTTCCTTCGGGAATTGGCCATTCGAGCCCAAAATGATTGTCGTGAGGCACCGGCAGGTTCCTGGGGAGCAGCGCGCTGACCACGCTGGCTCATGGATTGAAACAGGCTTTGCAACATGATTGAGTTGCCAGTCAGGCAAGTTTGAGCCGGAGCACTGAAAAAAACTGAAGATGACTAAAGGTACTGACCAGAAGGATATGAAACACAAGTACACACCAATCAAAAATGAACATGATGATTCTTATTCAGCCTCTACCCACTCGGGCGACGCTGGCTTGCCACGCTTAGGGGCACCTCCGCTTCCACCACGAGAAGCGCGTTTACCAGGCATTGAGCCTTTGACAATCAATGCCTGCCCTCAGAACTTGAACCAAAAACTCTAGGAAGATAACACCTACCTGCTTCCAAGATGCAACACAAACTGTGCTTGAGATATCTTGGGATATTTGGATTGAGTGACTCGCATTGACTCACATTCCGGGCTACAAATAAACTCATGGTTCCAAACTGTTTGCATATCTGCATCTTCAAGATAGAAAACAGAATCTATCTGCTGGCACTGCATTGCCGTTTTGTCCAGAAGGCCAGGTTGGTCAAAGCACAACCGATCACAAGATGTTCACAAGAATCCGCTCACTGTCCCCTCATGTGCACATTGGTTTCCATCCCAGGCACCAAAAGGACTGGCAAATTGCATGGACGGCGCAAAGTCATGGACAGCTCGGGGTCTCCAGCGCATTGATGTAACCAAGTGAGTGGTGGAAAGTTCACATTGTTCCCCCGGCGTCCTGCAGCCAAGTCCTGCAAATACCGGATGGATCTAACAACCCGACTTTCCTCCTGGCTGTCCAGCAAAATCAAGGCACACCGCAGCCAGCCTTGTGCATCTGCCGGCTCATTTGCAGGCCGCACCGCCGTTGGAGCACGACCAAACTGCTGCAAGAAACGATCCAGGAACCCATGCGGGATGGTGACTTGAAGGGACTGGCTTATGTTGGTATCCCACAAGTATCTCTTGACGATCATGATGGTGTCCAGCCCGTTAGGCTCAATGCCCAGCAACCTTCCAGTAGCTGTGCGAGGCTGTAAAATCTCCAAGTCATCCCGCGGAACATCTTTTCCTGAGGTCCACTCTTACAGGGGGGTGGATTTTTAAACTTTAACGCGTAAAGGGACACAAAGTTCAAACAAATCACTGTAAAGCAAAAAAAGTTGCCAAAGCACGTCAAAACCCAGGGACTCCAAAGCCAGATAAAGCAGTGGTTGGCCGTCAGATCCAGCTTGAGCCCACCAGAGATGCTGATGCCGAATCCATTCATGTAAGTTGCCCAGTCTCGCACAGACTCCAGAACAGAGACATGGATCTCGGCAGCCCCAAGGAAGCTTTTCAATGTTGGTCTGCGAAGAATTGCCTCCACCTCCTTCGCCACTGCCCAAATGTCAGGCAAGTAATCACAGAATTGGAATGCCCGTGAAATGACACCAAAAAGTTGGTCTAAGATGTTATGCGTGTGGCCTTTGATGTGCTGGACAAAGGCCACGGACTGAAAGCAGGCCCTCTGTTGGAGATGGGCGAGAAACATCATCAAGGTCTGGCACTTATTCTCACGGACGGTATTGTCCGTGAGGACAACGAGTTCGGCCGGCAGTTGCAATCCACGAGATCGCGCTGTTGCCTGGCAATTTTCCAAACACCGTGCCAGGACTTCGCAAGTCATGGACCCGTCATGGGCCTGGACTGGGTCTGCAATGAAAAAATCAATGGAATGGTGAAATGCCCAACAGCCCTGCATCTTGCAGCGCGGTCTGCGTATTTTTGGCCCAGACAATCCCTTGGGCCCCCGCCAGCCTTGAATTCTGGGTATGGACCAGTGACTCTGGTCCATCCCGTCTGTTACTATAAACAGACATGGCCGAGCCGCTGTGGGTAACATTGTTCTCAGACTTTCTTCCATGTCTCTGGAACGCCCCACATTGGCATAGTGGACATGCAGCCTCTGGGTGCTCTCAACCAAAGATCTGTACCCTTGCCTTCGTGAGTTCTTGATGTTTTTCTGCAGCTCTGCACATTGATCGCATTGAGCGAAGTCGCCCTTGGCTCTGAATCGCAAGATATTCTTAAAAGCATCCCAAGTCCTGACGAAGGAGCAGTAGCTTACAGTCTGGCCAGTGGCTTTCATGTCTCTCCACAAATCCCGTACCGATCCAGGCGCCAAGTAACGGACAGGAAGGCCAGCCAGATCAGTTCCAAGACCAGAGTCGATGTATCGTGTGAACAAAGTCCTGTCAGCTAAAATGCTTTCAGCGGAGTCATCGGCTGGTGGAGGTGTATCAGACTCTGACGATTCGGTTGCATCATCAGCTCCAATGTAGCGTCTCCGCCTCCTTCGCTGCCACTTCCCATGGAACTTATTGGGCAAGGTCTCCCCAAGACCTTGGTTTCGCTTGGAACTGAGACCAAACCCACAAGAGATAGTGATAGAGGGCCCTTCCATGTTCAGTCAGTGAAAATGTATGTATATAAGTCTGGCAAGCAACGGCTGTAGACCGTAATGAGATAGAGCCGCACTTGTTTCTCCTGCACTTTCGAACGAGGCTTCTTTGGATTGCCCTTCAACCGGCCATCCACTCGAAAATCCTGTTTCGCCAGTGACTCCGCCTGCATCTTGCCCATCTGGAACAGCGCCCGGAAACAGTCCAGAGACATTCTTAATCCCATGACGCACACATTCGCCCTCCAATGCACTTCCGCAAAATGCAATCCCGGACACCCTTTGACTGCTCGCTGAACAGCGAGAGCAAGGCCAGAAGGTCAAGCAGAATGGATTGAAACTGGCTGAAACATGTCTCTAGACTGCAAAGACACTTCTTGGAAACGTGAGCTTGTACACGCTCCTTGTTTGCTCTGGACTGAGCAACTCCTTTCCTCCCTTTGGCCTTTGATTGGGCCAGAGCTTGTCTCCTGCTATTGTTGTAGCGTCTCTTCTTGTGATCTGCCACTGCCAAGCTGGAAGAAACTCTTTCCTTGGCTGCCACTTCTTGGATCAATGCACTAGTCAGCGCTGGCTTCACACCAGCATTGTCACTGTCTCTGGCTCTTCCTTCTGATGTGTTCGAACCCATCCTCTTGAAGACTACCCCAAGGGCACTTGAACTGCTGACATTGCGGTCAGAGTCAGACTGGCTCCTTTTCTCAGCCATCTTGCCAAACAAATTGCCAAGGGGGCTCGCCATTCATGCAGCTCTACTGAAAGTGGTGGCCACTAACTCGAACTCTTTAACAAATCTTTCTGACGTCATGACAATTTTTTGCTTGAGTCTCTAACTCGAACTCCTTAACAAATCTTTCTGATGCATGACAACTTTTTGCTTGAGTCTTTTGGGACTGTCTAGGATTTGAATTTCAAGTTCATCTTACCTTCAACTTCTGACCTTGGAACTTTGATCCTGTCAAGCCAATTCAATGAAGCGCTCAAGAATTCATGGCCACTGTGCGCAAATTCAGATTGCAAGGCTTTTGAACAGGCGTGACTGTGGCTTACAACGAGGACAACTGCTTCAATCTAAGCTCACAACTTCCAACCTACAGCCAGCGCCAATCCTTGACCTCACAAGTGATTGCCTGGATTCAATGGTATGATGACGCTTGCAACTGAAACTGTTCTAGAATTGGATACATGTTTGGCTCTTGATGTATCTTATGTGACTTGGTCAGCCCAAATCAATTTTCGAATGTTATATAAAATTCTAAAAAGATTTGATTAGCGTTGGGCCAAGCCTTTCTATCATGCTTGATGTTGGATTTTGTTTTTAAAGTATTCTAGACTTGATTGTACAAGGCTCTTGTATCGTTATGCTCAAATGATGCATGATGTTTATTATGCGACTTGGTGGGTCCAAGTCAATATTCGATTATTCTAGACTGAAAGCCTCGTACTGTAATGCTCAAATGAAATGATTCACAATGCTTATGCAGCTTGGTGGGTCCAAGTCATTATTTGGGTATTCTAGGCTTGATTGTAGAATGTTCTTATACGGTTATTCCCAAATAATTCATGATGCTTATGCGAGTTGGTGGGTCCAAATCAATATTCGATTATTCTAGACTGAAAGCCTCGTACTGTAATGCTCAAATGATTCACAACGCTTATGCAGCTTGGTGGGTCCAAACCATTATTTAAGTATTCTAGACTTGGTTGCACAACGTTCGTGCATCGTTATTCCCAAACGATTCATGATGTTGATGCGACTTGGTGGGTCCAAGTCAATATTCGATTAGTCTAGACTGACTCTAATGACTCACAACGCTTATGCGGCTTGGTGGGTCCAAACCATTGCTTAAGTATTCTAGACTTGGTACGTTTGTGCATCGTTATTCCCAAACGATTCATGATGTTGATGTGACTTGGTGGGTCCAAGTCAATATTCGATTAGTCTCTGACTCTAATGACTCACAACGCTTATGCGGCTTGGTGGGTCCAAACCATTGTTTAAGTATTCTAGACTTGGTACGTTTGTGCATCGTTATTCCCAAACGATTCATGATGTTGATGCGACTTGGTGGGTCCAAGTCAATATTCGATTAGTCTAGACTGACTCTAATGACTCACAACGCTTATGCGGCTTGGTGGGTCCAAACCATTATTTAAGTACTCTAGACTTGGTTGCACAACGTTCGTTTATCGTTATTCCCAAATGATTCACGATACTTATGCAACTTGGTGGGTCCAAGTCAATCTTAGGCTAGTCTAGCGTTGGTCACACAAAGTCTTTGTATCTTATCTGACTTGGTGGGCCCAAGTCTGTCTTCAATTATTCTAAACTTAGTAGCATGAGCTGAGGGGGTCCAAGTCATGGGAAAACATATTTTTTGGCAAATGAAACATACCGGAACTGTGCAATGGGAGCGAACTGATGGGCTGAGTCCACCCACCTTACTCATCTGATGTTTGATCAGCTGCTGACTCGTGATACAACGATACACAAGACATCGCCTCGCCTTTTGCAAGGCCAACAAAGACCTGACAAAGAGCGATCTCATAAGCTTGGATGTTATGCATCCTATACATCATATCCATCAAGTAATATTATATTATAACAAAAAACTCCACAACTGTGAGTTTGAGATCAGCAAATTACAGACCAAAAATTACAGTCAAACCGTTGAAACAACTTGGACAAACAAGTCCTGATTGATCATGATGCTTGTCAGACTTGAGGTCTGAGCCGGCCAAAACCTTCAAAGTGACAAACAGAATGAACTTGAGTTGGCGCACGCTGGAAGCAACTTGATAACACCGATCGCACACTTAGCACCCAGCGGAGTTGCGCCCACAAGTGGAGCCTCAGGGCTGGGATCTTCAAACTCATGGCTATGTGACCCTGTATGACCTTACGCATCTGTATGACTGTACGCACACGTGGGCCAGCGTTGATCATCCAGAAGCAGGCATGCATGCTGATGATTAAACTTGTCAAATCCAAATCCTAACAAGAAATGAATCGACTTGGTGGGCCCAAGTCATTCTAAAAGAACAATGCTGATTGAATGATTTGACTTGGCGGGCCCAAGTCTTTCCACAAGAACAACAATGATATAATTGATTTGAAGTTTGGTGAAGCCACTTTGATCATATCGTCACATCAACAAGACGCGAAAGACGCAAGCGAAGCGAGAGAAGTACACAAAGTAAAACAGCCTGTGATGTGCAAACCGCCTGTGACAGTGTTGCTGCCTTGCCTCGCGTTGCTTATAAAGTGGTAAAACACCAGAAAAATATAAAGCAATAATTGCAGACTCACAGCCTGATGTCCCAGAATGAGCATTAAAGCATTTGCTCAGCTGTCATAGGTTGGGCGTTAAATCAACCACCCTGTTGGCTTTTTGGTCGCATTGACTTATGGAGCAGTCATCAATCATCACATCCATTCATCGCATTTCACTCCGAGCCTCCGGGCTTATGATCAATCTAGAGTCTAGCATTAGAAGAACTTAGATGACTGTAGTATGTTCACCACCGCCCTGTGGTGGGTGGCCAGCTCTTGGGGCGCCCGGACGGCGCCACTATGGAGATGGAAAGTTCAACCTCAGAACTATGGAGTTCAAACTCAGGACGATGCCAAACCCATAAGCACTCTCACAGCGCTACTTCCTGCAAAACGTTTGGGGGTGGCAAGGTTTGGGGGTGGCAAGCTGCATACTGCAATCGTTTTTTCGACTTCGGGGCCCTTTGGCCATTACAGCACAAGCCCCCTATTCCAAAATCCGACAGAGTGCGAAACAGTTTTTGACTTCGGGGCCATTTGGCCATTACAGCACAAGTCCCCGATTCCAAATTCTGACAGAGTAGTAATAGGCTTGGGTTATTCCAACAGTTTATTCCCAGAGGGTACAAGGGGTACATGGAGTTCAATTTGCTGAAGCATTTATAAAAACATGTAGCGCAAAAATTTGAAATTGTTCCAGACCAAAGACGACTGTGGTAACAAAATTAATATTCCATATGTACTCCATTTGCTGATCGATGGTGTCCAGTGACCCCACGATCCCTTCCAGGTGCTTTGAAAGGACCTTCGTCCATCTGTTAAAAAGAAAAATTGAATGTGCACAGTGCGTGGCTCGTCGCCATCTTGCGAATTTAACACATATGTGATTGGAGATTGATTTGACTTTGATCAACAGCGACTGCAATCGAATTCGATTGACTTTGATCGACTTTCATTGAGTTTTTGATAGCTAAACATTCTGAAATTTGACACTTTCAACGTTCAGCCACAACTAAACTCAAGCAATAAACTCAAACAGCAAACACTGGGTCCTTGGCCGGCGGCCAATGTGCTCGGAAGGAAAGCAACGAACCTCCGTCATGTGAATTCTCGGAAGGTCCAACTTTGAGGGCAACAGCAACAGCAGCAAAAACACCGTGGGCGGGTACTATATGCCCAATTCTGATATTATTTGGTGGGTCTAAGTCATATCAGTAACCTGATAAGTACGATGTATCAACCAATCGACTTGGTGGATCCAAGTCGTGATTTGGGGGTCCAAGTCATATTTGAATGCAACTCCAATTGTTCTGACAACTCTAAAAGACTGGGCTGCTGGCCACCGGGCAGCAAAGCCTGGCAAGCAACAAAGTGACCATGAAAAAATGCGTGCCAGGTGCAAAGCACTAAAGAAACCATTTCCAGGTGCAAAGTGCAGCAAACACCCTTTTTCATCCATGCTGGCTGCCAGAGGTTTGCAGCTGTAGGCCCATTGATCCTGAGGGAAAAGCATAGTCAGACTCCAGCCAACCCTTCAGCAAGCAAAGATGCCCACCAAATAGCAAGAATCAACAACTGAGCCTGCGGCGCTTCCATCATCTGTCCTGGCCCATCCATGCCTCCAGTGGGTCTCGGTGTCTGAGTCTGATACACCAAATCCAATTCAATGCGATCCAGTCCAACAAACACGGATGAACATTGAGATTCAGAAATTAAGATGTCCACAACAACTGAGCCTGTGACGCTGCCATCTGTCAAATCCATGCCTTGGGTCTCGGTGTCCAAATCTGGTACATCAAGTCCAATTCTGTGTGATTCAATCCAACCAAAACAGCCAAAAAAACAGTCATTCAGACTGGGAACCAAACCATCATCGTTTGTACCGATGCTTCGGTGGTGGGTTCTTTGCATCCTTAATGACATCACATGCACCTGTTCAGTGTTACAGCCATCAGTGATCTGAGCCCGCAACAGGGCGTCCATCTGCTCTTTCTCCCTGCCACCATGGATCGCTGAACTGGGAAGCAGGGACAGAGATCATATTGAGCAATGTGATGATTTGAAGTTGACAAATTGTGAAGCAAACACTCACCAAAAATGACCAAACAGGCCATTCAAGTCCACAACGTTGTCTTTAGCGATGCGGATTTCTCTGCCAGTGACAAGGGGATATAAGATCTGAGCCATTGGAATCTTTCCAAGCATTCTTTTCAAGAGCCTCTTAAAGCCTCAATATGCTGAGCTTCCTACATTGGCTGCAGCCGAAAGGATGTAGTACAGGAATCTATCTGCTTGTACCAGGAGGTCTTCCAGCGGAGGAAACACCTGGGCCAAACAGGAGACATGACAGTCCATTCATGAACTCTTCTTCTTCCTGCAGGGGCAATGAATTCATGCGTGGGATATCATGACTATCTTTGACAAAACCCACCTTA